GGATGGATGGATGGATGGATGGATGGATGGATGGACGGACGGACGGAATCCAGTCTTTTTTTTTGTCTCAGAATGTAAAAATTAGTGGTGCATCGATTGCAATTTTCTGGCCAATCACGATCATGATTTCTAAAAAGTCTGACCTGCCGATACCGATTTTGTTTTATAAGTGACACTGTCAGGTGTTACAAGGTCACAATGTACCTTCAATTTTCCAATCTTATTTTGTTGAAAAACATACAATATCCTAGAAACAATACAAACTTGTTTTAACTGGCCATGAGGTAGTGCTCTGAAATATAAATGAAGTTCAGACAATTGTTGTTAAAACTAAAAATAAAATAAAAAAGGTAAAATCAATTTCTCATGCAAGTATCGGCCGATTTCCCAAAATTAAGGATATCGGGGCCGATAAATCCAAGTAGGTATTGCTGCAGGCAAATTCGGAAGGCGTATCTGGGGGGCCACATCTGATTGGATGAGGCGTATCGGGGGGGAGGGTCATATCTGGTTGAACTATAGGAAAATGGGTGTGTCTGGCGGGTCATATCTGATTGGACGATAGGAAAATGGGTGTTTCTGGTCGGCCACATCTGATTGGACGATAGATAAATGGGCGTGTCTGGCGGGCCACATCTGATTGGATGAGGCGTATATCCGGGGAGGTCATATCTGGTTGGACTATAGGAAAATGGGCGTGTCTGGTGGTCACATCTGATTGGACGATAGGAAAATGGGTGTTTCTGGTTGGCCACATCTGACTGGACGATAGATAAATGGGCGTGTCTGGCTGGCCACATCTGATTGGACAATAAAAAAAATGCTGACCGATAAAAAGCCGTTTATGTTAACCACAGACACATTATGTCTAAAAACAAGGCGTTATTGGCAGATTGTGTTAACCACAGGCATATTACGTCTACGGTGTTAACCGGTTCAACGTTAGCCGCGTCTCCATAAATTCTTTTTCCGCTTCTCTTAACACAGAACTTCCAGTTACATTTCAAAATAAGAGCAACATAACTGGTTAGTGGGGAGGGCTAAATGTTAGGTTTTTTTTTAATACCTAGCCATATCATTAAAAAACAAAATCCATTTTGGTTGTTGAAAAATGTGAAAATAGTTATAATCGATTCATAAAGAAAGAAAAATATTAATGCTACTTAAACTGGCCTTGGGACGAAGGATGTTGCCTTTAACGTCACATTTTGTTCAACCTGCACTCACTGATGACTGATTGTCAGTTTCTGTAAGATTTCTGCAGCTGGAGAAAGTACTGGTTCACTTCCTCAGCTGTCTCACATTTTAAGGGTCAATCCTACTCCCTGTTTCAGCTCCTTTCACAGATCAGACCTCATAGAAGAGCACTTCTAAAGAGCAAATTTTGTTTTTAGCAGGTTTTGCTTCAGATGCTTCATATTTCATTGTACCCAGACCACACTCAAGGCAACCTGTGTCAGGTGCAGCCTACAACCCAAGGACTAAAGAGAATCTTCTTGTGTTTGACAGTAGATTTAACGCTGGTTCTTAGAAACCTTCAGTTTTAAAAAAGAGTTGACGTAACTTAACTAAAGAGCCAGCAAATACAGCTAGCCAATCAGTGTTTGCCCCCCACAAATGCCTATTAGCCAGAAACGCCCACTTTTGGTCTGCAGAGAACCCCTTCTCGATAAATCAGCCAGACGATGTATCGGTGCACCCCTAGTAAAAATATCAATAAATGTTAACAATCATTGGATGCTTTTAGTTTTATAATATCATGCCCACAGGCCAGAAAAGCCCTCGCTAATAAACTTTAAATGGCCCATGGGCCACCAGTTGATAATGACAATTGTAGCAGCTTTTACAGCTTTGGACACATTTAATTTAGTGAAGGAAAAGGCAGAAATGTCTCCTTTGATCATAAAGGTTGCAGACCCCTGAAATAAGTGAAAAAAAGTCAATAATGTCAACAATCAAGATCTTATGTAATAAACTGTTTTATATATATTTAAATGGTGTTATCTGCATAAAGCACGTTCTGTGGCTCGGGACTAACTTGATCCAGCAGGAAAAGGAAGCAAAGTGTTGCAGAGACTGCAGCAGCTTTGCAGGAGTGTTAGTTTCAAGTCAGGACTAATGACATAAACAGCAGCAACAAGTCCTCCCAGACGGTAGCAGGACGAAATGCAGACACATGCAGGAGCTGAAAAGGTGCACCCGGATAAATCAGGGTGGAAATCATCCTGCGATGCGACTCTAAAGTGTTGGGAAAGTGCGGGAGCCGCAGAAGTTGTTCCACCATGTCTGCTCGGCTCAAGTTGTGTGATATGCAACAGGAGGGTGGAGAGACGGCAGGCTTACCAGATGAAGTCCGTGCAGTGGCTGCAGAAAGTCGGCTGCTTGAAGAACCTGGCTATGAATTTATGGTTCTTGATTTCGTGGACGTTTTTTTGCCGCAGAGCTCCTTTTCGAGCAAACCTGTTCGCTACGTCCTCGGTGGACGTTTCGATTAAACTTACTTCTGCCGTATCCATCTCAAATACAAATGAGTGCAGTCGCTTTTTGTTTTTTTGCTTCTTTGTTTGTTTTTGTTTTCTTTCGCGCAGTCTGTGAAAAGGGAGTTTCCTTCAGTGTGGAGACAGAAAGTGAAGCGCCGGTGTTCACCGTTCTGACTGTCTGAGGGCTTTCCCTGCCTCAGCCGTTGACAGTTACACTTCCGTTAAGATTCGAACTCTGAGGTCTACTGCTTCCGGTAAGCGTCTTCAAAATAAAAGTCCATTGCAATCGGTTTTTAACGCAACAAAGTTCAGTCAGGACATCCGGACACTTCCTTTTCTTTCTTTCTTTTTGTGTTTGTTTTTTTGTTTTTTTTTATGTTTCATCCTTCATCCAAAGGACTTCATCAGTCCGAGGAGCCACAGCAAACTCAGTCCCACTAGCAGCATACTCACATAGTGAACCAACCAGTTTCAGGTTCAGAGTTTCTTTATTGTCATTCGCACCACATGTAGTACATGTCGTGGAGAAAAATTATGTACACAGGGTCCCAGTTACATCCAACAATAAAATGTAAAAGTAAAACAGGAATAAGATCTAAGATATGAACTAAGAAAAACATCAACTAAATATACACTAAGCATTAACAGCTTAAAAACATTATGTCGAACAGCAGCACGAACATGAGTCTGTATGAGCAGATGAGCACGCATGAACACAGCAACATGAAACAGATCATGAAATACTCCATCTGTACTGTTTTCTAAGCTTTTTTATTGTTTTCTATTGTATGGGTGTACACATGTTTATGTTATGTTTTTAATTTTACTCTATTTGTGGGTGTACACAGGTCTTGTGTCTTATGTAATGTTCTCATTTTTACTTCATTTTTACTTTATTTTTACTTTATTTTACTTTATTACTATTCGCACCTTATGTCGAAGCAAATTCCTAGTTTGTGAACCTCGTTCATTGACATGGCAATAATAAACTGATTCTGATTCTGATTCTGATTCTGATTCTGATCAGCAGCAACATGAAACAGATCAGCAGCAACTTGATGTGATTTTTCACAGTGTTAGATATTTATGAGTCTAACAGCCTCCGGGTAGAAGCTGTTCCTCAGTCTAGTGGTTCTACACTTAATGCTCCTCAACCTCCTTCCTGAGGGGAGCAGGGCAAAAAGTGTGTGTGCTGGGTGAGTGGGGTCCTTCATGATGCAGGTAGCTCTCTTCCTGCATCTGGAGGTGTAGATGTCTATGATGGTGGGGAGGCTGACTCCAACAGTCTTCTGTGCAGCCTTCACCACTTTCTGCAAAGCTTTTCTTTCTGCAGCTGTGCAGCCTCCATGCCACACGTTGATGCTGGAGCACAGGGTGCTCTCCACTGCACACCTGTAGAAGGAGGTGAGGACTGAGCTTCCCAGACCAGCTCGCCTCAGCCGCCCGAGGAAGTAGAGTCTCTGATGAGCTTTCTTGATCAGGCTGGTGGTGTTGGTGATAAGATACAATACAATACAACTTTATTTATAAAGCACTTTAAAACAACACTGTTGGTCAAAGTGCTGTACACTAACACATACAAGCATAAAAACTATAAACTCAACAGATACCATAAAAGTAATGAACTACCAAATCAAAACAGCAAACGGTAAAAACTATAAAACAAATAACTTATAAACAGTAAAACCAACATTTCAAGCTGCGTTAAAAGCCAACGAGAAGAAATGAGTCTTCAGAGAAGATTTAAAAACAGGGAGTGAGATAAGATGGTTTATGTGACCCGCCCTCTTCCCCATCGACTCCTCTGAGGCAGCCATAGCCAAAGTGGTTCAAAACATCAAAGTTCATGCTTAATAATCCAGGTGAACTTTGTTGGATTTTTTTTTTTACCTGGATTATTGAGCATGAACTTTGATGTTTTGAACCACTTTGGCTATGGCTGCCTTAGAGGAGTCGACAGGGGAGAGGGTGGATCCCAGAACCATCTAATCGCCAGCAAACTGGTCGGTCCGCTGTGGGTTTGGCGCTTGTGGGACTGAGTTTGTTTGTCACTTCTTGGATTGATGAAGTCCTTTGGATGAAGGGAGAAACATCTCAACATATACAAAAGAAAGAAACCATTCAGAGGACCTGAGTGAACTTTGTTGGATTTTTTTTTAACCTGGATTATTGAGCATGAACTTTGATGTATATTTAACTTTTAAAAAAAGTGTTCAGTGCATTTTCTAAAGTTGCTCTAAAAGGATACTTCAAATAATTGAAAGTGACGTTTGTAGAAAGATTTTGAACAGTTAAAAGGCTCTTTGGTCATTTTAGAAGTGATGGTTCAAAAGGAACCTTATGAGGCTTCACAGAAAAATATATGAAGAAATCTTGTATGTCTTCCTTATGCTATGAGGTTAAAACCCAGGTCCATTTTATATAGTTTTTCAGGCATATAATAATACTTTCATTTTAAATGTAATTTATAATGCTGCATTAACAAGTTTTCTGAACTCACAGCAGACCAACTCATTTAGCTGATAATACACATGGGTTTTAATACTGTTCAGTTGATAAAACAGCAACAGGCTAAAAAACATTGTTGTGTAAAAATGCCTTTGTTGATGTGTTGTTCTTTCATGCTGAAATTTTGAGAGTAGCTGTGAAGTCCTGTTTAGTTCTGTCCATGTATCTGGGCAGCTTTAAATGTTCTTGTTTTAATCGCAAAGGGTTTTATTAAACCGTGCATGAAAGGGATACATCAAACCTTTTAATTTATCAAAAAGAATCAGCAGAGCCTTTATGAATATTTATGTTTTTATCTTTGAAGAAAATGAACTACGGCTTTCATTCCACATGAAGTATTTGCATCTTTTAAAATCATTTCGACAACTAACTTGATGTTTAAAAGCATATATGAATCTGTGATTTAATGCTCTTGTGTTCATTATTTAGCAATGGGGTGGGGGACATCTAATGTCTTAAAATGCCTCGGTACACCTTTTTTTTTTTTTAAACAGAGCCTAGATTTGTTTTATTTTGAAAAAACATTTTCCGGTTGCTACCTCTTGTATTTCCGGTTGCTTGACTCCGCTTCGCTGCTCTTCCTTCTTTATCGCTCCGGATGACGTCACGCAGCAGGATGGGCTTGGGAGGGAGGGGGCCCCTGTTCCTGGTCCGGCTGGAGGATCTGAGGGTTGAGGCGTCATCAAGTGGAAAACACAGCACATTACACACTTCCTGTGCAGCTTGTAGGTCATGTGCTGACTTGTTTAATTGCTTAAAGCTGGATGTTTCCTACAAGTTTGTGTTTTTGTGTGTGCAGACCAATATAGTTAAGTTATACAAGTGTAACAGAGTATTACTTTACATTCACTGTTTGTGCTTTACACAACGCACAAGGATGATTTTCTTTCTTGTTGAACACAGTCTTCCTGTGCAACATGTAGACCTATTCATTGCAAATCTACAAAAATTAAAGCTTCTGCTTCCCTGATGTTGTGCTTTCTGTGTCTCTGGTGTTGTGGAAAATTACTGCAGCCTCCAGGACAATATGGTATGGCATTACCAGGAAAATAACAGTCGGGTTTCAAAGCAGTTCATACACATATGGGCCACGAGAGGAAACGCCATGGGTTTGAGTTCCATATTACACAAACAAGTCCGGTAAGATGTTTTACATAACTGGAAATTGCATTGTGTTTAAAAGTTGCTAAATTGTAAATGGACTTTTCAAGATAGTCAAAGCGCTTTACACTACAATCTGTGCCCTCATTTACCCATTCATACAGCACTCTACAAGATCTCTACAAAGACTAATCAGTGCTTTATCACAAGATGGGACACACATCCGAGTCAATTAGGGGTTCAGTGTCTTGCCCAGGGACACTTCGGCATGTGACTGCTGGTTGAATGGACAGAATGCAATGATCTGCAAATCATACAAGCTCAGTGGAATAACAAGCATGTCAAACGTATTAATTAAAAGATTGTATTATTTTGGGGGGCACATGTAATTTAGAATATGATGGCAGTGATCCATCTCAAAAAACAGGACAGGGCTACAATTACCACTGTGAAGCATCCCCGTCTTCTTTTAACAACATTCTGTAAAGATTGCCTGGAAAAATAACAAAATTGCCACTTTCATGGACCCACCACTTGAAGGGAGGTCGGTGCCGTGCATGTCGGGTGGCAGGCAAGGGAAGGTCCCTGGCCATGCCAGTTCCTGGTGGCATAGACTAGCTCTAGGGATGTGGAACGTCAGCTTACTGGGGGGTAAGAAGTTGGAGCTCCTGTGTGAAGTTGAGTAGCACCAACTAGATATAGTTGGGTTCACCTCTACGCACAGCTTGGCTCTGGAACCCAACTCCTGGAGACAAGCTGGACTCGCTCCTACTCTGGAGTTGCCCATGGGAGAGGGGCGTCAGGCGGGTGTGGGGATACCCCCAGCTGAATGCTTCTGGGAGTTTTCCCCAGTGAATGAGAGGTTATCTCTGCAGCTTGTGACTGCAGGAGGGAACTTTCTGACTGTGTGTGCTTATGCACCAAACATCAGCTCAGATTATCCACCTTTTCTGGAGTCTCTGGATGGAGTCTTGGAAGGGGTGCCGTCTGGGGATTCCCTCATTCTACTGGATGACCAGTGCCCATGTGGGCAATGAAGGAATAAGGAGCTGATTTGGTGGAGCTGATCCTTGATCTGAAACCAAATGGTCTTTGTTTATTGGACTTCTGAGCTTGGCATGGTGTGTCGATAATGAACACCATGTTTGAGCGCATGGAGGTTCATAAGTGTACTGTACCGTAGGCCACCTTAGATCAAAGGTCAAAGGTCGATGATCGATTAGTCAGGCCTGCGCCTTATGACTAGGACACGTGGGTGAAGAGAGAGGAAGAGCTGTCAACTGTTCACCACCTGGTGGTGAGTTGGATCCAGTGGCGGTGGGGGGATGGGTGCGGGGGTGTTGGCATTGATGGACTTAGCTATTTTGGGGCCCAAGGCAAACCTTTGTAAAGGGGCCCTCCCCCAAGTCTGCCATAATGTACCAGTCGGCCGTGAGGGTGAAACATTCTGTAGGGCTGCCACAATTTTCATACTGCAATACTGTGAACCAGACCGTAGCACAACATAAGATTTTTTTCTACTTTAATAAAATAACACAACTACATTTTAAAATATTTTTGGAAAAACTTTCGTTTTATTATTGTAATTTTTTTTTTAAAGATGCTAAATCAGATCTTACATGAACAGTCAACACTAACTACGTACAAACTAATAATGACAGGGTAGAGATGGGTAATACAGTATGAATGTGTTTTCCTAAATTAGCAGATTTTCACAAGTTTTTATCACAATTCTTTTAGTGTCATATTGCATACTCCTCTGACAGAGCACAGTTAATAATACTTAATAACAATACTTTATTTATAAAGTCCTTTCAAACAACCACAGCTGCAACAAAGTGCTGTGCACATAAAATCAAGAACGTTTAAACACATACAAGAATAAAACCATTTTTAAAACATTAAGATCAATAAAAACAATCAAAACAGTAGTGTAAGTAGTAGTAGTTGTAAGATAATTGTGTCAGCTTTAATCATCCTGTCACTTTTGGGAGGAGAGGGACACACAGGGCAGGGAGAGAAGGAGTGGGAGCTAAAGTGGTTAAAATATAAAAATCCCGTCTTTCTCTCCTAGTTTAAGAAAAGTTGCAGACTATATCGTTAATATTTTGATATAGAAAAAACATAGTACTACGTTTTGTCTGAGTTATTTACACTTTGCTGTCAATGTGGGTCGTTTTACCCAGAATTTATGTAGAAAATACTTCCTAAAACTTTTAAATTTGTCTATGTACTGTAATGTACTGTAGCAACAACCATCAATCAAACTTCATCTCGTGATTCCTCTTCGTTGGCTTGTTGTTCCTTCATCCAGTCCGGTTCTCTGTCCACGTTCGGGCCAATGTCGTCAGCATTTCTGTCAGCCGACTCCGTGGATATCTTGTGCACGAGTGATGATAGGATTGATCGACGGATTGGGACCTCATCCTCAGTAATGAGGGCGCTGTTTTGGTCAGTCATAGTGAAGAAATAGCTAAGTCGAAATGCAAAGCTCTCCATTTACTGTCTATGTTCAGACCCTTAATTGTGGCCATGAGGTTTGGATCAGGACCAAAAGAATGATATCCTGGATACAAATGGCCCAAATGGACTTCTATAGAGTGACCGGACTCAGCTTTGAGGAGCTCCATCATCTAGAGGGAGCTCAGAGTAGAGCTGCTGCTCATCCGCATTGAAAGGAGTCAGTTGAGGTGGTTAGAGCATCTAATAAGGATGCCTCCTGGACGCCTCCCTTTAGAGGTTTTTCAGGCACATCCCACTGGTAGGAGGCTCTGGGGAAGACCCAGAAGTTGTTGGAGGGATGGTGTATCTTCTCTGGCCTGGGAACACCTCAAGGTCCCACAGAAAATGCTGGAAAGTGTCGCTGGGGAGATGGATGTCTGGGTTTCTCTCCAGGACCTGTTGCATCTGTGACCCAACCCTGGGTAAGTGTTAGAAGATGGACGGATAGATATTCTGAAACTGTTGCACTGTTTTAAACAGTTTTTGTAGATTAGTGAACTTCTGCCCATTTTTACTACCCTCTTCTTCCTTTCCCAGTTGCACACAGCTTCTCTAAAATATTCTATACCCTGTCCTCCTGCTGCCATGTGACCTAATTAGCTGCAAAATGCTCCAGCAGCTGTTTCTTATTTGTACCATTTTTACAGTATTGTGTTTCCCATTTCCAACTTTTCAGCAGCACGGTGGTGCAGTTGGTAGAGCTGCTGCCTCTCAGCGAGCAGGCTACCCCCTGTTCAAATCCCCGTCCAGGGGCCCTTTTTGGGTGGAGTTTGCATGTTCTCTCCGTGCATGCGTGGGTTTTCTCCGTGTACTCCGGTTTTCTCCCATAGACCAAAAACATGCATGTTAGGCTGATTAGTAACTCTAAATTGTCCCAAGGTGAGAATGAGAGAGTGAATGGTTGTTTGTCTCTATGTGTCCCTGTGATGGACTGGAGACCTGGCCAGGGTGTCCCCCACCTCATACATACAGTGATGGATATGGGTACCGGTGACCTCCGCAACACAAAGAGGAAAAATTAGGTAAAGATAATGGATGGATTTCCAACTTATTTTTAGATGTGCTTCTTCTTCTTCTTCTTCTTCTTCTTTCGACTTTTCCCTCTTCAGCGGTCGCCACAGCGAGTCATCCTCCTCCACCTCACTCTGTCCTCGGCATCCTCTGTCCTCACTCCAACTATCTTCATGTCGGTGAAGATTCTTTTTGTATTGAATGCTTTTTGTATCTTCATGTCCCCTCTAACTGCATCCATTTATCTCCTCTTTGGCCTTCGTGTTTGTCTTTTTCCTGGCAGCTGCATTTCTAACATTCTCCTACCAATATACCCACGGTCCCTCCTCTGGACATGTTCAAACCATCTCTGTTTGGCCTCCCTAACTTTATCTCCCAGTTGTTCAACCTGTGCTGTACCTCTGATTATCTCATTCCTAATCTTGTCCAGCCTTGTCACTCCTAAGGAGAACCTTAGCATCTTCATTTCTGCCACTTCCAGTTCTTTCTCATGTCTTTTTGTCAATGCCACTGTCTCCAGACCATACAATATACAGTAGCTGGTCTCACCACTGTCTTGTAAACTTTTCCTTTGACCTTTGCTGACACCCTGTTGTCACAAATCACTCCTGAAACTTTTTTCCATCCACTCCGTCCTGTCTGGACTCTATCACTTCTTTACCACATTCCCCATTTTCCTGGACAGTGGACCCCAAGTACTTGAAGTCCTGCACCTTTGTGACCTCTGCTCCTTGTAGCCTCACTGTTCCACTGGCCTCCCTCTCATTCACACACATATACTCTGTCTTACTATGACTGACTTTCATTCCTCTTCTTTCAATTGCATACCTCCACGTCTCCAAGTTCTCTTCCACCTGTTCCTTGTTCTCACCACAGATCACATTGTCATCTGCAAACATCATCGTTCATGGGGATTCTTGCCTGACCTCAACTGTTAGTCGGTCCATCACCAGAGCAAACAAGAAGGGGCTCAGAGCTGATCCTTGATGCACTCCCACCTCCACCTTAAAGCTAACCTTCTACTTCTACCTTCAGACACATCACCCTAGCTGACACTCTCTTCACCTCTAGTACATTCTTTGCCAACTCCTCCTTCAGGACCACCCCTACCCCATTTCTCTTTCTATCCACACCATGGTAAAACAGTTTGAACCCTGCTCCAATGCTGTGAGCCTTGCTGCCCTTCCACTTGGTCTCTTGGACACAAAACATCTACCTTTCTTCTCTGCATCATGTCAGCCAGCTCTCTACCTTTGCCTGTCATTGTCCCCACATTTAGCGTTGCAACGCTCAGTCCTACATTCTTCACTTTCTTCTTCTCCCTCTGTCTCCTGACACGTTTCCCTCCTCGTGGTCTTTGACTAACAGTAGCACAATTTCCCCCGGCACCCTGTTTGTCAACAGCACCGGTGGCAGTCGTTGTTAACCCGGGCCTCGACCGATCCGGTATGGTTTCGCTTTGATGAACTCACATTATTGTTCTGGCAAAAGTGTTTTACATCAGATGCCATTCCTGACACAACCCTCACCATTTACCTGAGTTGGGACCGGCACAAGAGATACACTGGCTTGTGCTCCCTAGTGGCTGGTTTTTATTTTTAGATGTGCTGCTGCCATAAATTCAAAATTAATTTATTTTTACTAACACAACATGGTGCAATTCCTTAATTTAAACATTTTATATGATCAATAAGTTCCATTGTGAATAAAATATGGGTTTATTAGATTTACAAGCATTCGTTTTGTATTTACATTTTATATAAAATCCCAACTTTTCTCAAATAGGTTTTTTTTAATCCAAAGAACGTTTACATTTTCTTTAACCTTTGGCCAAAGTTCTCCACTCACCCAGTGGTTCAGGAGGTGTAAAGTAATAGAAACTATTAGCTAAACTCAAAGAAAAAAATATTTTACCTTATTTCATTTGACCACTTTTTTTTTGTTGTTTATGAGAATTTACATATTGTTGTCCAAGTTGTTGTTTTTTTTTTTCATGACACTATGAATGTACTGTTTGCTGTTTGCTCTGGCCAAGTCATTTATTTCTGTTTGAACAAAAAATTTTTTAATGTGAAATGCCTGTTGCTCATTTGTATCTATTTGCTGGAATGAACTTTAGTGGAAAAATAAAGTGTGTTCGCTGTAATCCACATAAATAAAGGCCTCATTTAAATTCAAGGACCATGTTGCAGATTTTTCTCAAACTTTGCGCAGTTAAATCTTTTTGTGTTCCTGTAAAGTTCTTTCTAAGCATCAGTAAATATGTCACATGATTCTGCTTGTCTGCTGTTTGCTCCAAATCAAAGTTTTCAACCAGCTTTAGATAAAAGTGTTTGTATGCAGGACTATTGACCTTTGTGCTTAATCAATATAAGCTAAACCTTGCATTTGATTGGAGGAGACGGTCTCTGTCCCATCAACCAGTGGCTCTTTTCCAGCAGCTCCCTCCCCACCTTGAAATAGCCGACGCCGAGGTGACTTCACCCCCAGAAAAGATGGCTCCAGCTCTGGCTTTGCTGCTTCTCGGCCTTTCAGCTTTATGCACTACTGTTACATCTGTAAAGGGTAAAGCAGAGCAGACCTTTTCTTCCAAATGCTTTTTTATTATTATTAGTGTCACTCATCAGTGTTATCTTTGAAAATGCATTCTGACTTGTTCCTGCAGAGTTTCCAAGTAATTAAGCTGCAAGTAAGATAATTTCGGTGAGTCATCTTCTATTGTCTTTTTGTAGTGTGTGGCCGGCCTCCTGTCCCTGATGGAGTCGATGTTTCGTCTTTAAAACGTGTGTTTGAGGTCGGAGAAGAGCTGTCTCTCTCATGCGATCAGGGGTTCTTGTCTTCAGCAGCCTCATCGTCCAGAATAAGCTGCACAGCTGCGGGAGAGTGGACTGAGTCAAACCTGGCATGTTCCCGTGAGTCCAGACTGATGTTATAATCCGTAGTCTCGCCTTAGTGTCTTGCAAAGCAATAATCGTTAGCAGAAGTTGGGAGAAAAGACTGACTTTGAATTAAAATGTTTTGGTGAATTTGGAAAAAAATAATAATAAATGCAGTTGTTGTTGATCAAAGTGCATGCTCAATAATCCAGGTAAAAAATCCAACAAAGTTAAGTCAGGTCATCTGGACGGTTTCTTTTTTTGTTGAACCATTTCGTTCTTCATCCAAAGGACTTCATCAGTCCGAGGAGCCACAACAAACTCAGTCCCACAAGCAGCTCACTCACATAGTGGGCCAACCAGTTCGATGGTGATGAGATGGTTTCTGGACTTTAATGTTTTGAACCACTTTGGCCATGGCTGCCTCAGAGGAGTCGACGGGGGACAGAGTTGCATTCGGGCCCAAAAAATCCGATCTGATCTGGCCCCAGCTCACAGTCATAATTTCCGAAACCCACCCGACCCAATGAACTAACAGTAATTACAGTTCCGAACACGGAAAAAAACCCAACATTTTTAATTAGTTATTAACTGTCGGGGACGTGCGGCTGAATAAAAGGAGCATAAGATCAGAGCGGGCAGCACGGTGGCGCAACTGGTAGAGCTGCTGCCTCTCAGTGAGAAGGTCCCTGGTTCAAACCCCGGTCCAGGGGCCTTTCTGGGTGGAGTTTGCATGTTCTCTCCGTACATGCGTGGGTTTTCTCCGGGTACTCCGGTTTCCTCCCACAGTCCAAAAACATGCATGTTAGGCTGATTGGTAACTCTAAATTGTCCCTAGGTGTGAATGAGAGTGAATGGTTGTTTGTCTCTATGTGGCCCTGTGATGGACTTGCGACCCGTCCAGGGTGTACCCCGCCCCTCGCACAGTGATTGCTGGACATGGGCACCAGAGACCCCCGTGACCCAAAATGGAACAAACGGGTAAAGAAAATGGATGGATGGATGGATAAGATCAGAGCTGAGGAGGTGTTTGTCCTTTCATGGACATAAAAAAGCATTTAAGTCCTGCTTCTGCCTGCATTCTTCTGCATTACTGAGACATGCGGACCACTCTAACACGTCTGCTTTGGGATCTCACCTGCTTGGGTCATCGGCCGCGCACGTCCGCTGAGTGCAGCGGCTGAATGAACGTCCATTTGGGCTGATGGATCGCTGCCTGGCAGTACAGTCCCATCTGAAGCTTAACTGAACTTTTTACCTTGTTCAAGGCCGGTCAGCTCGCTGTGAAATGGCTGTGGCGGCTGATGAATGTAAGGAAGGCCGTGTTATCATATAATTAGATTGAGGCTGATTCTGATCCAATCAAAAGCCCGACACTGACCCAGCCTGCCCATCCAGTGGATTATCGTGGCACAGCCCACCCCACCCTGAATTCGGGTCAGGTGGGGCCAGGCTTAGGGCTCGGGTTAGAAATAACAGCTCTAATGGGGGAGAGGGTGGAGTCCAGAAACCATCTTATCAGCAGCAAACTGGATGGTCCACTATGTGAGTGTGCTACTTATAGGACTGAGTTTGTGTGGCTCCTCGAACTGATGAAGTCCTTTGGATGAAGGGTGAAACATCCCAACAAAAAGGAAACTGGCCAGAGGACTTGACTTAACTTTGTTGGAGCTGTCATGTTTCTTACTATGAGAGAAATCAGACTGTTGAGCTGTGAGGTTTTATTTTAATCCATCTGTTTTACTTGTCATTTGATGGAGTCCAAATCTGCTTAATCTGCTTTTCATCATACTAACAAAAAGAAAAGAGTTATACAGATACCTACAACTGCTCATAAAATTGGAAAATCATGACTGAAATATACATAATAGTATGCTTTTGCAGAAACACACACACACAAAAAAAACATCCTGATAAGGTTAAACTGCCCAAGTGTAAAAAGAAAATACAATATTGAAGTTAAAAGAGTTTAAATAAATGCAAGAATCCATAACTAATGATGTTTTTTTCTGTGCTGGTTTTCAACAAACGTTATGCAACCTGTTATAAAAAACATTTTCTTTGTAGCCAAGATGTGCCAAATTCCTCGACCTCTGCAGCCATTTGCAATGGGCAGGACAGAGGCTCCGTATAGAAGTATCTTAAACTTCACATGTGATGATGGGTAATGGTGGAGAACAGTAACATTCACTTTCAAACTAATCATTGCAGAATAAGTGTTCAGAAACAGACAGTTTTATTCCTTTTTGTTCATCAGGTATGTTCTTCTAGGAGCCAATGAAAGCAGGTGTTTGCATGATGGCTCCTGGAGTCACCCACCTCCTCTATGCAAAGGTACAAAGAATATACTCTGAATATTCAAAGACTAGAGCAGATTATGTCACATTCGGGAGCAAATTGTTATCTGTTGCACTTACTTGGATATGTACCGTTGTACTCCGGCAGTCTTGGTAAACAAAGTTATTCTTTTGGACACACAGCTGTGAACTGTCCTCTCCCCAAGCCCCCAAGAGAGGGAAGAATTGTCCACGATAAAGCAGTTGCAGGAACTACAACTCATTATGGACAAGGCTGGACATATGAGTGCAATCCACCTAAAGCACCAAGTGTTGAGAGAGGGTCCTGCATGGCTGATGGAACCGCAACTGAACCACCGGTGTGTCGAGGTTAGCAGGCTTGTGATGTACAGATTTTACATTATCTGTATGATTTATGCAAGAATGCAAGATCTTTCACCAGCTTCTGTTGCTGTCTGATTAAAATGTTCTTTTGCAACTGATTTTCAGAGGTGAGCTGCTCTATCCCAACGAACATACCGAATGGCGTCATCACATTTGCTGTGATGAGACAACATGGATACAAGGAGAAGGTTAAATATGCCTGCAATGAGCACTACACTCTGGAAGGTGACGCCGAGATCCAATGCCAAAACACAGGAAACTGGTCATCAAAGCCCATCTGCAGGGGTGAGTCAGGAGAACAGGGAAACTGATTTGTCTGTCAGAAATGCAGCGTACATGCTGAGAGCTACAGGACTATGCTAAAAATGTAAGAAGTAAAAAATGGAACATTGGCTTAAAAGTAATATTGTCAACACACCAGCTAAATGATGTACAAAGCAAAGCAATAGTCAAAGGCCAGAGGAACAGAACATAAGCTAAAAGCTGAAAGAAGCAGGAAATAAAATGTCTGCTAAAAGTAGCAAAAGGCTAGATAAATCTAAAAGATGAAAATGGCTAGCTAATAGCTAAACATTTTAAAAGGCTGGTTAAAAACTAGTCTGTAGTAAGCAGAAACTGTTCAGTTGAAGAAAAAAAGAACATATAGACGAATGAAAATTAGGAAAACAAAAATGTGAGTATTGGATCACCATTCAAACAACGAGAACTTAATTCAGGCTTCATCTAATATATACCATACCACACCACACCATACCACATCATACCATACCATATCACACCATACCATTTCACACCACACAACACCATACCGCATCATATCATACCATACCATACCACACCATACCATATCACACCATACCACATCATACCATACCGTACCATACATATCACATCATACCATACCATACCATACCATACCATACCATACCATACCATACCATACCATACCATACCACACCATACCATACCACACCACACCACAACATACCATATCACACCATACCACTCCACACCACACCATACCATACCATATCACACCATACCATACCATACCACACCACACCATACCACACCTTACCATACCAAACCATACCATACCATACCACACCATACCATATCACACCATACCACACCACACAACACCATACCACACCACCACACCGCACCATGCCACTTTATTTATAAAGCACTTAAAACAGGAGCAAGGCCAACCAAAGCACTGTACAGCCAACTCAAAAGCAAATTAAATAGCAAAAAATATATAGATCTAAATAGGATAAGAACAAAATGACTAACATTATAGCGTACATACAAGTTAAAATCAACTCACTCAGTGTCAAAAACCAGGGAATAAAAGTGTGTTTTTAAACGTGACTTAAAAACAATGAGAGGGAGCCTCCCTGCCATACAGTGATAACTTGTTCCACAGTTTGGGGCCTGCGACAGAGAAGGCCCTGTCACCTATGAGCTTAAAACAAGTGCCTGGAACCAGTAAAAGCATCTGGTCTGCTGACCTTCGAGAGCGCTGGAACCATCAAAAGCATCTGGTCTGCTGACCTTTGAGAGCGTTGTGGGGCATATGGCTGCAGCAGATCAGTGAGATACAAGAAAGATAGGATATATATACATACATATATATATATATATATATATATATATATATATATATATATATATATATATATATATATATTACTCACATTTTCTTTTTCCATGCATATGTCTCTGATGCATGATGAAGACATTTTCACATGTTTTTTTATGCAGCTCCCTGCACAGTTGGTATCAAACGAGGCCGCATCTTCTACAATGCCAAGAAGATCTGGATTGAGGACCTGAAACCAAACAGAGTGCTTCATAAAGAGCCTGTTGTCTTCTACTGTAAGAATAAAGCTGAGAAGTGTGGTTACCCTGTGGCCAGCACCTGCAACGATGGAAACCTGCCCCTCCCAGAATGTTTTGAGGGTGAGTTCACCCCAGCTGAATGAATGATTGTCATGAGAAATTACCAATAATTTTATGTGCTGTAGTATAGATTGAATTTTTGAGTTTGGGCAAAATTTACTCTCATGATTTGCACAGTTTAAAGTATTTTCTTTTTCTAACATAATAAATCAAATAATTACTGAAATCTTTGAAAATATCTGCATAGTCAGATGTTTGATTTTTAAAACATAGTAACATACATGTCTCTGTTTATTTTATTTTTTTCTCTGTTTATTTTATTTTTTTTTTAGAACCAGGCAAACTGGAGTACAACTTAAAAGCTAAAACCCTTCCATCGGAGATCAGAATGTGTGCTGCACCACCGACTGCAAGGCCGACAAGCTCTGCAAGCCCTTCGTGATCAACCCACTGAATAAATAAGTGGATCTTGTGCTGAAACAGAGGTCTCCTTTGTTGCTATTCCTGTCATATTCAACTAGCAATACAATTACCAGAAAAAGTATTTTGCATTACATATTTTAATTAAAAAGTAAACATAACATGATAGAATAATATAAGAAAATTTGTAATTATAATGATTTTTTTATGAAAATATCCTACAATTTATATTTAATTTAATGTGAAAAAAGTTATCTGTTGATTAAAATTTACTTTGTTGCTTTATTTCCTTCTTCACAACATTGCAAGATATGCTAAATTGGACCTTTACTGGCTTTTAGTATATTATTTAGTGTATTGATAAATATCTATGGTGTTATTCTTTCTTAAAAAATATAAATTAAAAAGGCGGAGTGGTGGTGAAGAGGCCAGAGGAGGTGAGCTCGTGATTGGAAGGTTGCTGGTTCAAACCCCAGGACCAATGTTTGTTTACAATTGATTCATATTTGGAGTTAACCTGATTCAAAATGGCTGCCACAGCTGAATATCCTTGGACAACACAAAATGCTGCGACTCATATTGATAGGTATTTGTCTCAAAGTTGGTGTGGTAGTAGCTGAAAGCCATCCCTAACACACACTTCAAGTGCTAACAGATTGTGTGAAGTATTTTTTTTTTTTTTTTTACTTTGGCATTGAAATTCAACTGTGTTAATCTGTTAGCAAAATATTTCTTGAACCAATGGACAAATTTTAATAAAACTCTCAGAAAATATTTGTCAAGGTGTGCATCGTATGATTAACTTTTGGAGTCAAAACAGATAAAGATTGCTGCCACAGCTAATCAACCTCAGCAAACATGTGTGGCTATAATTCAATCAGCCTTACTGATATTGAGTTAAACTTTGGTGCGATATAAGCTGAGAGTTGACCCACACTCATAATTTTTTCATTCATTCAACCTTTATTTATACAGGTTAGTATCACTGAGTCACAAGGACTCATTTACAAGAGACCTGTTTTAAACAAAGAACACAAATGAGGTACACACAACAATAAACAGTCATAGAAAGCATAAATATAAAAAAGTTAATATAAGTAGTGGTATAAAACTAAATTAAAACAAACAACATTATGAAATGGGATAAAATACTTTGTACTAAAAACAGGAACATGTCTGAGTTGGTTTTTGCCATGAACTTAGATGTTGAAAATCCCTTAGAGAGGTAAAAGCTGACAACTTCAGATATTTTTGTACGATATTCCAGGAAACAGGAGCAGAGTAAGAGAAGGCCTTTTTGCCTAGTTCAGTCTGCACTGAGAGGACGCTGCAGGTAATGATGTCCTGAGAGCACATGCTGTAGCTGCGCTGACGAGGTGACAGGTAGGAGGAGATATGAAGGCAGCAGACCAAGAAGTGGTTTACAGTTGAAAATGGACCAGTGAGAGAGTCTACGTGAAGTTAATGATGACCAATTGATCAATGAATACAGGGTGCAATGGTGGGTACAGTACAGCCATTTATGAATCTTAGCGCACCATGATAGGCAGCGTCCAACATCTGCAAGGTGCTTGCAGGAGCATTCGTGTAAATAATGTTACTGTAGGCAAAGGAGGGAAGGAAAGTTGCAGTCACAAGGCATTTCCTAGCATTCAGAGATCTATGAACAAGATCTATTTCTGAAAAAGAAACCCAATTTTAATCTAAATTTCTTTATCAAATTTTTGACGTGAAGCTTAAAAGAGCATCATCCAAGATTCCCAAGTATTTGTAAGAATCAACAAACTCAAGAGGGACACCATTCAAGGATAAAATAGAAGGAAGGTCTGCTGGCACCGACTTCCTGTTTGAAAACAACATCCCTTTGGTTTTACTAGCATTTAGCACCAGTTTGAGATGGAACAAATCTGACTGGATGATGTTGAATGCAGACTGTAAAAATTGGAAAAAGTAACTGATTTAGCTCGACAATAAACAACTGTTGTCGGCATATAAATGTAAGGATGCATCAGGAATGATCTCACCTACATTACTTATGTAGATTGTGAAGAGGGTGGGTCTTAAAACTGAGCCTTGTGGTACACCACTGTTGACAATTAAATAACTGGAAGAAGTGCCATTGTGTTGTGTATATAATCCAAGTGCAAACAAAACACATCAGAATTATGTTTTAAACATGTACATGAAAGGCAGAGGGTGATAAGCAGTTCTTCGAGGTATGCAAGGTTTCATATTGTTGTGACTGCAAATATGCATCTGTTAAACCTAAAATTAACATAAGTATTTACATTTATTAAAATTTTTGCAACAATAGTAACATTTTTATTCAACTTCTCTTGCATACATCTAGTTCACATGTTTTAACAACATGGAAATACCTTCACTGAGTGAAGAGAAATTTATTTTTAATTTATGTAGACAATTTTTTTAATTTTAAACATTCACCCCAACATAACAGTAATATTACATAAGTAGAACCATAGAAAGTTACAGGATGATAAAATATAATGGATATGGCCCAGCTTGAGGGGAGCCTTGGCTTTTGGGAGCCGAGATTGAAACAAACGGCTGTGTTTACCTTTAAGAGTCCACATAAGTAAATTTTAGTTTTTTCCTTTTTCATGACATTTCATAAGTAGGTTAAAGGCCTCTGTGGTTTCGTTTCCAGTAAAACTGAGAGAATGTTACTTCATGCTGTTCTTATCTGTTTACTTTTAGGAAAACACAAACAGCTGTGAAACGGGGCAGAGAATCCAAACCTGAGGCAGATCCCTCTGGAGAGAATGAAGCAGCGTCCGGGCATTTCTAGTGAAAATATGGAACGAGTAAAAACTTTATTTCTGTTGGGTTCATCTCTGCTTTTGACTGCAGTGTCTTCTCAAGACCACAATGGTATGGTTGTACTTCTTCATTTTTTACAACTTACTTTTTTAATGGATGCAGATTTTTTTCTATCACTTTTTTTTTAATAGTTTTAACTATTTTAAGAAAAATGTGGATTTACATTTTTTTTTTAGCTGTTTTCAAGTTTATCAAAAGGAAACAAAATAATGTTTTATGTAAATGATAATAACAGTTTCTTGCTCGCTTTTAGTTTAGTGTTGTCATAAGCAGTGGCAGCTGGTGGAGTTTACATACACACAAACGCACACACACACACACACGCACACATATATAAATACATACATATATATATATATATTTTTTTTTTTTCTATAAGCACTTTCAAATAAATGTAGCAATAGCACAGATTTATCACAGAGCCCAATATAATAACCTAGAGACTAGCGCTAGCATACCAGCTCCAAAAACAAAGAGACAAACTCACCAGTTCCCACTTTTAGAATACACAGTCAGCTGAAAGTTTTTTCACAAACAGATACATCTAAAAGTTGAGAGGCATATCAGTCAGAAATGTCAACATAGGCATTACATAAAGGGCTTTCAATGCTTAAATCCTACCTGCAGCCGCTAGCTTCTCTCATACACAGCCTGGTTGTGAGTGTCACTTCACGATCTGTCCCGGAAGCACAATCCATACTTCAGCTCGGGGCGCAGGAGAGGTGCGCCCAGAATCTTCCTATCTCTTGTATTGGAAGTTTAGCTACTGTGCATGTGCAACTTTTAACAAGAGTCAATGGGCAAAGATTTTTGCGCCCCAGGGCGCTCACCAATCAGACAACAATGTTGATAAACGAAACAACTTTACTCATCATTAACTATAAAATATTCATCTTACACAACTAAAAAATATATACATATATTTCGAAATATTTTTATTTTATTTTATCATTTTTATTTAACTTTTTATGTTTTATTCAAGGTAATGTGGTGAGAGGTGAGAGGTGGGGCAGCGCCCTTTATATTGGCCAGCCGCCACTTGTCATAAGTCAATCTGAAAATTGTTCTAACCTTTCATCTGTCTGAATAATGTAAATGTTTCATAGTGTTTTTGTCAGTTTAACAATATACACCACTTTTATTTAAGCCCGTTTTTTTGTGTGTAGTTTGTTCTAGACCCGAGTTGGATGGTAACATTGAGATGACTGGAATGCAGAGGTTCTTCATCCCTGGATCAGAGTTACTGTTGTCCTGTCAGCGAGGATATACGCCCGTGTTAGGCCCTCGCAAAATTGTCTGCACCGCCAGTGGGGAGTGGACGAAAACCAAATTCAAGTGCATACGTGGGTTTCTTATTCAAGTAACAAGATGCTCCTTTTTGTTGGTTATCTTGGGAGAAATAATATAAAATTAAACAACAATATCTGCATCATTGCTATAATTACATTTGTTGTGAAATTTTCCTTGAACATATATTTTATACAGATTAGTTCAATCTTCAATCTTACTGGGGATTTGGGCACATTTTCTATAGTCTTTTTTTAGGAGATTTTACAAGATCTTTATGAGATGATTGCTCATAATATGATAAAATTTCATTGAAAATTAAAAAATATATATGTTAAGTGAAAAAGCAGTTTGCTCACAATTTCACTATATGTTCTCTTATGTATATGTCATGTACAATTTACTTTGTTCAGACATGTTTCTAAAGCCTGCATTTGCTATTTTTTATTATTACTTGCAGCAAAGCAATGTCCCTATCCCGATCTGATCACTAATGGAGAATCATTTTACGAGGACACAGTTTACCAGAGCGGGATCAACTATACCTGTAATGAAGGGTAAAGAGAACATTTTAAACAATTTCTTTGTAACTTATATCTAATTGATTTGATTAGCAAATAGTGTTGTGTATTAACAAAAACATCTTGTGAGTTTATGATACCTCAAAATACATTTAGTCAACTAACCAGTGGTTGATGTGAATCAGAGTTTTTGCTATATTTTTTAAAGCATATAAAATGACTAAATATTTTTGTTCTGAACAGATATATTTTGACTGGTCCCAGATCGGCAGTGTGCCAAGCCAATGGAACATGGAGTACACCACCACCAAAGTGTATACGTATGTCATCTATCTTCATATCCCACATAGTAATATTTACACTTAAAGATAATGTAATTAAAATAATAATAATAATAATAATAGTAGTAGTAAATAAAGTATGAGCATTTCTCAAAGAAATGCATAACACCCACCATGCCAGAGATTTAGACTAAAATAATCATGTGTTACGTAATGACAGAATTGTAGACATTTAGGTCAAATCTAGTTCTGTGCAGTTTTATGCAATATATCACAAGCTGTCAAGTTTAGAATTGTTGTGACTGACTCTCAGCTATTACTACATCAAAATATAGCTCAATATCTGTAAAACTGACTTATATACCCATTTTTTGTGCCGCTAATGGTGATTAACTGTTGTGTCCTTTTTGAATTGGACTAACTTAAGAAGGTAATCAGTTGTACTGTAAACATAAATACCTAAATTAAATTCCCAAAATTTTATTGAAACCTGTCATAGCAAAATTGTTGTTGTTTTTTTTATTAAAAAAAACCCTTTAGTCTACATACATACATACATACATACATACATACATACATACATACATAC